ATGAAGTTTCTTACTATTTAATTATTAATATTATTTTTTTATAATTTCAAATATATCTTATCTATTAATTGACACTCACTTTGTTTTAATTTTCCTTGTAGAAAAAAAACTATTCTAATCTTTCCGCTTGAATCTATACTTCTATTTGAGCTAAAATGCTTAAGAAAACTAAGAAAATTGAGTACTTTGAGTTCCCCTAAAAAATTAATATTATATGAGTCTAATTTTGCTCATTTTAAGCTTATGAAAATATGTTATTCTAGTTGACTGTGACGCTTCGTCGCTCCAGGTCTATCGTCTCTAATGCTCTTGTTGAGCGAGAGTTGCCTCATTGAGCGAGATTGGTATTCTCATTGAGTAGGGTTTCACTCTTGTTGAGTGAGAGATGCTATACTTACTGCCATGATATCGCTTAGTGCGGCTGAGTCCCATTGAGAAAGGGTCTTGATTTTCCAAGCTCATTGAGCGAGAGTTGTGGCTCGCTCAGTAAGAGTCTTCAACTTGATGCTCGTTGAACGTGGATTGGGGCCCACCGAGCGAGATTCATGTTATTTCTTAGAATTCTGATTTTTGCATTGGTTTACCATGGAATGACTTCAAATTAGAATTTCAAGGGTAAATTTTGAAAAATTACAAAATGTACTAATTTAAACATCATAATCGTGACATTTTGAACAATTATAGAGTTAAAAAGTGCCTAAAAGTCAATGTTAAATAGGTAAAATTGACACTTATCAGAGAACATTCTAACTCAATATTAAACTTTGCTTGGTTTATCATAAACTTCAATAGTGCATAAAATTCTCAAGACTTTTTTGTGAAAAACTTAGAAAGATTGATTTGAAAAAGTACGGTAAGTTTATTGTGTGAAATTATAGTATGTTTTCAGATGTTAAGGATGGTATTTATAGAGTTTGAAGGGTTCTAAGTTCCATTATAAGAGGTAAAAAAACATTTGGGAAGGTAATGTTCCATTTGGGAATGTATTGGTTGAGTTTAAAATATGAAACAACACTTCTAGCACATAGTAATTAGTTACTGTGTTATGGTAACTGATTACTTGAATTTAATGTCTAATAGAGTAGTATGTTACCTATAAAGTAAACTATTAATGGCACTTTTTTTTAGTCAGGTAACACATTATTTTGTTTGAAGTACCATGTTACTCTGTTACAATGTTTTTGTTACTGATCGGGCAAATCACAAGTGCACAATTTTGTCGTCAAGTAATAAAAATATTGATCCCTGAGGATTGGAAATTTCTTTACTTCTACCAATTAATTATATTTAACTCAAATAGGGAATAAAAATGAATTTAGAACAATGAAATAATTGACAATAATAATTATGAAAATAATAAAAGGATTGAATTTTATAATAAGGGTTAATGCCTTTACACTTGTAAAGCATTGTTTTACTCTTTTTCATGAACTTTAAGTTGTGAGGGTGAATTGATATTTGATATGTGTCATCTTGAGCTCCAACACATGTACTCAATTGATGTGGCACCTAATCTCATAGTACGGTTATCAATCGAATCATTTACTTGGACCTTTCTATCTAATTGCTTCATAGGAACCCAAAGTGAACTCGATAAGCCTCGAGAATCCTAAGACTACTCCATTGACTTAGGATTTAAGTTTGAATGATCGGATAGTTGGGTTCACCTCTCTGTCCTCCCCCAATGTATCTAAGAGGTATAACTTGTTAGCCATGCAATTCACATAAATAAAACTCTTCTTAATTATTCAAATCACAATACTCAATGAAATAGAATTAGAAAATGTAAAAGGGAATAACCCAAATTCTAGAAACAAAAGGGAATTACTCACTAATGATAGAGATGAGATTACAAAATTCTAAATTGGAGAATAACAATATAAAAAAATGTGTTCAATCCTAAGTAATGTAAAAACATCTCCAATCCCTTAGGGAAAACCCTCATTTATCCTAATTACAAGAGATTAGGCTAAGTCCAAAATAACAAATCTAAAAATCTGAAATTTAGTAATATAATCTGTCATACACGACCATGGGTGTGGGACAGGGTCTGGCCGTAGATTGTGGCCTCCTTAAATAGTCTTCAGCATCTGGATGACCCTCGACTGTGGCTAGTTGAACACGACCATGGATGTAGGGCAATACGTGGGTACATGGGTAGGGGTTGAGGATCAGCGATGCACGTCAATGTGTGGTGGAACACTACCATGGGCCCAAGCACAACCTGACTGTGTATAGCGCATTCACTTCAAGTTGCTTTTCTTCGATCCAATATTGAAGAATGGGGATCAAAAACGCATTTGTACCGCCATCTATGATCGTCCTTCCAGTAATGTGCAAGATTCTTTTTGGGAATACATGGTTACGCTGTGTAACTCTATTTACCTTCCTTGGCTTATTCTGGTTGAATTTAACGACATTATTCTTCCTTCTGAGGTTAGAGGTGGAAACTTCATACTTCACGGGGCAACTAAGTTCTCTATAACATTGGAATCTTGTGGTTTAATGGACCTTGGGGCCATTGTTAGCAGGTATACTTGGTTTAGAAGATATCAGAGTGGTAGGATTATTTCTAAGCCCTTAGATCATGCTTTATTTAACTGCAGTTGGCGGAGAGAGTTCAGTGAAGCTTATGTTGAAAGCCTACCTAATTAAACTCCACTCTGATCATTGCCCTCTTTTGGTTCGTTGTGGTGGTGGTTAGGGACGATGTTATGTCCACTTGAGGGTGTGAAAATACACGCCCTGGATTTTTTCAAAAAAAATTGTGTACCATCTAAAACTTTATAAGTTCAATTTTTTTTTGCAATCGGCATCATGAAAAACAAATAATCATTATCACATTGAATTATTTTATAATATTATAAATATGAATTTTAAGGAACTTAGAAACTTTATTACCGTTTCTTAAAGACAAATATTAAGTTGTTTCTTTGTATGTCTTTTTTGAGTCGAGACAATTTGTTCTATAGTTTTGAGATGACAAAATTCATTGAATTTGCAAACTTTGTCCATGAGACTTTTGTTCAACTTGAGATTTACATCATTGATATGTGTAACAATGTTGAATTAAATGAATCGATAATCTTTCACATAAGTTGGTTGAAAGTGAAAAACACAGTGTTTACGTATCTATTAGTTTATATGTTCTATTGTATTTAGCGATACTACAACGATAGTAAAAACTTTTCACCCGTGAAAATTATGAAAAATAGATTGCATAATCGAATGAAAGATGTACGAATGAATGATTGTTTAATATCATAGGAAATGAGTTATCATTCAATGATTTCAAAATATGAAATACTTATCTAATTATATATATATATATATATTTAAATTTTGTGATTTTGACATTAATATTTTCATATTTCTATATCGGATAATATTTATTATTTTAATTTTTAATATACGTTGCACATTGTCGCGACCCGATTTTCGGTTGGAAGACCAGCCCCGCGACTTAGGGAGAGGCGAACTCGATTTCTACATCTTCCAATTTTTTTTGGAGTCGCCACTACGTTTTTTGCGGTTAAAACGTAGAAAACTCTAAATTATGCCCGATTAGAACAATTTGTTCTTTGAACAGAGATTTTGAGTTCGGGAGTCGATTACGGATCGAGGAAGGTATTAGCACCCGTTCGCCCGTATTAAAACGATACCCTCGCTAATAACATGGACTTTTATACCCTTACAATTATTTATCAAAATTTAGTAATAACAACAAAATGTTTTATTTTTTATTATTGGGTCTGACAAGAGTTTATCTTGCTCTTACGTATCCTAAGTGTAATAGGGAAATCAAGGCTACGTAGTTCTGGTTTAAAAATTAATTGGTTGATTTCATTGATTTGAAGCTATCGATTTGGTTGAATTGAAATTATAACATTCGTTGTAGAAATAATTTTTATAATTTTAGGACATAGGGATTAATAGCAAAGAGACAACACTGGTCGTGCACCGACTTTTCACTTTTAAAGCAGAATCGAAGAAACGACACGGGTCGTCGACCACACTATTAATTTTAAAAATATTTGAGTTTTAAAGACATTTGGAAATATTTCATGTAAATGGTGTATTGGTAGTAAAGAAACGGCACTGGTCGTACACCGACTTTCCATCTTTAGGACGGAAAGGTAGAAACGACACGGGTCGTCGACCGTACTATCAAACTCTTTTAGAAAATCATTAAGAATACTTAATTTAGAAAAATATTTTTTAGAAGTACTTGTTTTTATAAAAAAAAGAGTTGATAGTAAAGAGACAACATTGACCGTACACCGACTTTCCATCTTTAGGATGAAAAGGTAAAAACGACACGGGTCGTCGACCGGACTATCAAATTCCATTAAAAGTTAGTGATAAAATGGTTGGTAGTCATTATTTTTATCATGAAATAAAGCATTTTGTTGGATTTTATTAAAACAGATGTTGATATAATTTATGTGGTAAAATAGATCATCATTATTTACAATTGTATTATGCTGCATTATTATTATGATTAATATTATTATTATTTACAGAAATAGAAACACATCATCAAATAACTATTGGAACAATAGGACATGGAGAAGGAGAAAAGAAAATTAACCCGCATGGTACCCCAGTATGCTTGGATTGAGATCCATACATCTCTTGGCTTATTCTGATGTTAAAGCCTCTCAGAATTTATATAATGTCATTTCTCCCTATGTTGGCTACGTGAACTTTCCACCTAGCTTCAAGCCATGTTGTTGAACGTGGGACCTGAAAATGTTGCATAAATCTCTATCCATAACGAATCCCCTATCACCCAAACTATACATGTAATCCCTCATTAGTAGGTAAGTATATGAGCCATGAATGTTGAAGTTGCGGCATAAATGGATCAATGCACTACACGTGGGGCAGTCCCACAACAAGTCATTTTCCACCAAGACCCATGTCTTCATTAAAACCAGTTATAGACCAAAATAAATCATATAATAGTATGAGGAGGTGAAGGCGCCCTCCTTATGTCACTGGTTTTTGTAAAACCAAGCACCTATTCTTTCATTGTGTATCTTTTGTAGCCTACTAACTTTCCACGTGCAAGAGTGATTGTAAAGTCTCCATTTCCTTGTCTCCCCCTCCTTCAGATCCGATGTAAATGAGATAGCTTCGATCACTCAAATCAACATTGATGATGGTTGGTACAGCGGAGTAAGCTTTAGACAGAGAGAGGGTCCATAACTTGAGAAGACGTAGCATATATCCTTCTCGTTGTGAGAAAAAGTAACAAACTTTTGGTTCAAATGTATCTTATTTTGGTGGGTAGCAGGATTTAGGTTTGTGAATGGAAAAGGGAGGAGGAGAACCACATTGGAATTTAGAGAATGAGGAGCGGGTTGTGAGGAAAGAGGTCTTGAAAGAGTCGAAGACTTGAAGTTGTTGGAGTCAAGGAGCACATGATTTGATGAAGATGAAACTTCTTCTTTTTATCGTATATGACCCTTCTCTCCCTTAACTTCACCTTAATAAGTCTAACATATATTCATTTTCTCTAGTTTATAACTTACCACTCAACAAAAGGTAAAAGATGAAATACAAACTATGGCATAATGTTAAGCTTACCATTCACCCCAAATTTATTTTGTAACCTTCACCATTACAAGAGTTTAAGAAAATCTCAATCATTGAAACAAAACCGTTTGTATCAAATTTTTTATCATTGTTAATTCAAAACCAAGTAGTTAAAAAGGATAACTTGGTTCCAATACCAAAATATAAGTTCTATTCAATCCTTTCGTTATTTTATTTTTTTAATGTTTTTTTTTATTTTTTTGGAATATATGCCGGACAAAATTGAGTGTTCACACACATCCTACCTCCAAGTCTTAGATCTGTCACTAATGGTGGTGGTGAGGTTATTTCTAATATACCCTTCCATTTCCAGGTTGCTTGGTCCTCCCATGCTGGTTATTTTAATGTAGTTCATCACGCTCAGGTTGTAGTTGAGAGCGATGAGACTTGAAGGAAGAATTTGTGGTGTGCAACTTAGTTTGGACTCTTCGATCCAGGTCTTGTTAGACTCGAGGCCTATTTAAGACGAGATTATAATACTATCCTTAGACAATAGGAGATGTGGTTTCAAAAGTCTAGAGAGCAATGGGTAAAATTTGGAGACAAGAATACCAAACTTTTTCATACATAGACTATTGTGAGAAGAAAACAAATTAAAATTTATGCTATCTTCTTGGATAATGGTGAATGGTCTACTGAACATGTCAAGCTCAAGGAAGGGACTGGTCGCTATTTCTAAACTCTCTTTTGTTGTGACAGTGAGGTTAATCTTGATTTCTATAAGGTGCCCATCCGATGTTACCTGCTACTAGTTTTGAGCAAATGATTGTCTTTGTTTCAATGGATAAGGTTACTAAGGTGGCTATGTCTATGCACTCATGCAAAGCTCTTAGGTCTGATGGTAATCAACCTTTTTTCTTCAAAAACTATTGGCAGATTGTGGGAAAGGATATTTGGAAGATGGTATATGATGTTTTCTGTTATGGGTCAAATGATTAACGCCTCTTAGGCATTCTGTTGGTTCTTATCCCAAAAGTCAGCTCCCCAACTTCTCTGAAATATTTGCGGCCTATTAGGTGCATGTGAGTAGATTGAGGCCATTCTTAGATGATCTAATTAGCTCTATGCAAAATAGTTTCATTCCTAATCGAGAGACTGTTGATAATATCATTTTTGCTCAAGAAGCCATGCATTTCATCCATAAATTTAAGTAGAAGAAGGATCTTATAGCCTTTAAAGTTGATCTAGAAAAAATGTACTATATACTGAATTGGGATTTCTTAGAGAAAACTTTAAATGACTTTCGGTTTCCTCCAATTATTGTTAGCTTGTTCATATGGTGTGTTAGATCGAGAAGTATGTCCTTTTTTGGATTGGCTCTCGGTTGGACTATTTCCACCCAACCAGAGGTCTCCGCCAAGGCGATCTTATGTATCATTACTTGTTTGTTCTCTATAAGGAAAAACTTTCCCTCCTTATCAAGGAGAATGCGGACTTAGGTATTTGGAACCCTTTAAAACATTATAGAGGTGGGCCCCTAATTTCCCATTTACTTTTTGTGGATGACATGCTCTTATTCTGCAAAGGATCTAAGACTCAGGTAAACATGTTAACTACCACACTTGAGTAGTTCTGCAAGGCCTCATATATGAAAGTTAATGTTGACAATTCTAAGTTCATGTGCTCTAAAACTGTCTCGGGCAGGAAGAAACACAACTTCACGTCTACATGTGGGATGCATACCATTTCTAATCTGGACAACTATTTAGGAATTCCCCTAGTGCAAGCCAAGGTTCACAGGTATGTTTTCAATTCTTTAATTGAGAATATCGAGCGTTGTATGAGTACTTGGAGGCATAATATCCTAAATAAGGCGAGCATGGTTTCCCTTGCCAAATCTGTTATTTCCTCGATTCCCACTTACACCATGCATAGTATGTGGTTTCCTCAGAGTATATATATAATGATATTGATCAGATGACTAAGAATTTTATTTGGAGTGACAATGCTAACAAACAGAGTTTGAATTTGGTGAATTCGGAGGTTCTCACTAAGAATAAAAAAGTTGGTTGCTTAGAATTCGACACACTTGTTTGACTGACATCTCCCTTCTTAGTAAGTTGAGTTAGAATTTGATTCAGGGGAGTAATAAATTTTTGTATAAGGTCCTTGTCGCGACCCGATTTTCAGTTGGAAGACCGGTCCTGCGACTTAGGGAGAGACGAACTCGATTTCTACATCTTCCAATTGATTTTGAGCCGCCACTACGTTTTTTGCGGTTAAAACATAGAAAACTCTAAACATGTCCAATTATGATAATTTGGTCTTTAATCAGAGATTCTGAGCTCGGAAGTCGATTATGGATCGGGGAAGATACTAGCACCCCGTCCGCCCGTATTAAAACGGTACCCTCGCTAATAACATGGATTTTTATACCCTTAAAATTATTTATTAAAATTCAGTAAATAAAAACAAAATGTTTTATTTTTTATTGTTGTGCCTGACAAGAATTCAACTTGCTCCTACGTATCCCTAGCTGCAATAGGGATATCAAGGCTACGTAGTTCTGGTTCGAAAATCAATTAAATTGGTTTAGACAGTTTAAAATGTGTTGAAGTTGTTAAGTCATACCATATGATTTTTTACAAAATACTTTTGACAAGGAATTAATAGTTTAAAGACGGTATTGGTCGTTCACATTCTTCCCATTTTCAGAGAAGTTAGAGTCAACTCGAACCATGACTTTGCTATAAAAATTCCATTAACATTCGTTTAAGTATATAAGATAATTTTAAAGCTATTTTTGATATATTCTATTTTCATCAAATAGCATAACATAACATGAATAATAGATGAATCAAAATATATAACATGATTATATGATTAAAATAAAAGGAAACATGCAACAAAAAAGGAGGGGTAACATGCTTACTCCCTCATTGGCGCACAACAACAGCAAAGGGATTGAAATCCCTAAATCATTCTTTCCTCTCTTCCATCTCCATCCCTCATCTAAGCGGCGGTAGTGGCGATGAAACCACGAAGAGAGGCGGCGATGACTTGCAATCCCAGCTTCAGTCTACTCGTGGGTTTCAACCTTAGGTGGTGTGGCTCTTCCTTCTTTCTCACTCTCTCATACAGTGGCGATGGAAACTATGGCTATGGAGAAGACTATTGTGCCGCGGGTCCTCTTCAATGGTGACAATGGTGGTTCTGCCGTGAGGACGTGCTTCGAGTCTGGTGCTTCCGGCGATGATAAGGGTAATCATCTTCTCCCTTACTTCCTTTGTCGTTTTCTCTTGTAACTTCATAATCTCTTAATATCCTCTCATTCCTTACACTGTTCATCATATTGAACAGTAAACTGATGGCCGTTGCCGGTAGAGAGAGGGAATCGATTGGAGTCCCCCAAAGGGTAAATTAACACTTGGGGTTAGAGGGATTGGGTCCCTTTGGGGTTAAGTTTTGGTGAGGATATGCACAAATGTATGGGTTTTAGTTATTTCTCCAATTCAAGGCATGAATATAGCTAGCTATAACCCTTTGTTATGCAATTGAATTTTATTCAAAAATGATTTACTCTGAAGTTATAGCAATAATCATTTTAGCCACCACATGTTTAGGTAACACATATATTTGTTTTTTATGCATCGCTAGATATAGGGCTTAGCATATAAAACCGTTTGCTTTGAGTGTTAAGGGATACATTACCTTCTTGAGGCTTGATTCATGTTTTGTTTGTTTGGAGACACTGAGGTGGTTGAATTCTACTATACTGGCTGCTTGTGTGAGTGTTCCTGGCCTGATATGAGTGTATTGAAAGGGCTTTCTTGTATATGTTTAGGTGTACTATGCGTGTGTAGTATGATTCCCGCCTGCTTCAGTGTGAGGCGTATTGATGGATGATTTGTTGTGGTGTTTTGTGATATGATGGAATTGTGAGTATATGCTGTGTTGTAGATGCATATATATGTATTCCGATGAGATATGTGTGATAGCTAGATGAATGATATATTGCTTTTTGACTTGTTATATGATCTGGGTATGATGTATAGCAGCTGTTCTGACATGTGTGTTAGGTGGGAGTGTCTGTGAAGTATATCATCTCTCTCCCCCTTTTCTTCTTGAATTGTCTCTTTTTATATTGCCTCTGACTAATCTCTTGGGTTGCCAATTGATAACCATCTGGACTGCCCTTGATTACTACACATTACCTCCTTTATGAGTATTATCAATGCTTAGCTATTTGTAACTGAGTCAGACTTTTGGTATTTTCTTATTATTCTCCTTTTAACTGCCCACTTTTGCTCTTTAATAAAGTGTAACTGAAATGCCAACAACCATGATTTTATATCTCCTTAATAAGTTTTCATGTGCAATCATTCTGATTCATGGGTAATTTTCCTTATTTCTAGGTAAACATTGCATCTTTAACTGGACTGACATTGTCATTTTTGATAGCACTATTGATAGCATTTGCTAAAGATATGGTAATGTATTCATTCAGGCTATACAATGTTCCACCTTCAACAATTATGGGTTCATGTAGAGGATGTTCTTCAATTCAGCTCCCATTTGGACTTTTCTTGTGTCTTCTATCTGAAGCAAAACAGCACAGGAAAACTGGAGCATGCATAATCTGAAAAAGCTTCTTGATTTATCTTTATGCCAGCGACATGATATTCCCAAAGAACGATCCCATTGCTCTTTACTAGTCTTTTGATACCAGGGTGGGGTCTGTTTAGTAGTAAGGGGTATGGCTAAGGAGAGAAGCATCAACAGTAGTGTGATGCTCCTTAGTTGAGGTTGCCATTGTTGGTCTTACGCAACACTATTTATTTTAATGTTTTTCTGCTACTGTGTTTATTAGCTCATAAGGAAAAATGGAATTTTACATGCCACAATTTATTCAACTAGAAGACTTCAATTTGAGCTATCAAAATTTTTAGGATGAATGTGGTCCATAATGACTTTGACTATTGTTAATTACAATATTATGTAGCTTTGTTGTTAAGGCCAAGATGCCTTGTGGTGACTTATAAACAATATGAAATGGGATTAATGGATCGGGTACTCGTTTTTTTGAATGTCATGCAAATACGCTCATTTGGGGGAACTACAATTCCTCATTCACTTTTCTTTGTTACCTCACAAAGAGGTTGATGATGTATTTTTTGCGGTTACTAACTAAGCCAGACAAAATTGAGTGTTCACAGTCCTGAAAGATAAATACCTTTGTGATAATTGCAACCTTTTTGACATTCTTAAAGCTACTTCTAAACTGAAGAGTGGTTTTACTTTACAACTTGGAGATGATAATCACTCTATCTTGGTAAGCTCTGTCATACACTTTATTTTGTCAAAATTTATGACACTCACCTGTGGATTAAGGACCTAGAGGGATTTCTTGTGGGATTTTAGTATGGTTTACACCTTACTTCCATCCCAAGTGA